AGTCACCAGTGGCTGTCATTCTTGTGCCGCGTTACGCCAAACCCCTACAGTTCAGCAGGAGCAAACAACTTCCGCACCTCTCGAGGCAGTGGGCCAAGCATTCGCGGCAGATGTGATCAAGTGCAACTGACAGCTCATCTTAGTCCTCCGAGAGACAGTGACATCATTTACCGTAGCTGCACTTGTCGACAATGAATGTCACGTGACCCTACGTGATGCCCTTATACAGCTTTGCCTCCCTTTGCGTCCAATGGATGGCCCTCCAGCAATGAAACGCACCGATCCTGCTCCTGGGTTCAAGGCATTAGTTGACGATCCGCTTCTTCATCAGCACAGTATTACACTAGAGATTGGCCAGGCAAAAAATCCTAACAAAAATCCTGTAGCCGAAAGGGCAGTACAACAGCTAGAGGCTGAGCTCCTTCGTCAAGACCTGTTGGGTGGAGCAGTAACCACACTCGCCTTGTCTGTAGCAACTGCTGCCTTAAATTCTCGAATCCGCTCTCGTGGACATTCTTCGCGCAAAATGTGGACTCAGAGGGACCAATTTACTAACGCCCAGATCGCCTTCAGTGACAACTCCCTCAGTAGCACTCAACACCTCATGCTACTCAAGAACCACCTGAATAGCAAACAGTCCAAAGCTCCACTGGCACAAAAGCATCCAGATCCGCCCATTGTAGTTGGTGACCTCGTGTACCTCTACTCAGATCGAAACAAGTCTCGCGGCCATGACTGATACCTAGTAACATCAGAGGACTCCCTGTTCTGCAACATCAGAAAGTTCATCGGATCTCAACTCCGCAGCTCTCCCTATCGCGTAAGTCTCTCTGAATGCGTCAAGGTTCCAACCGAGATGTCTGCACCTCTACCTCATTGCACACCGCACTCTGATAGCCACGATGATGATGATACCGAGGAAGTGGCCAGACCACCGGCACCTCCTGATATCCCAGAGGACATATCAACACCCCCACCTTACAGTAACAACCAGTCCTTGCCCAGACCCCGACTGAGATCGTGACCGATTGCCCTGACCTACCGGTTCCTGATGAGGATGATGAAGCAGTCTCCTCCAACAGAATCCACCTCGCTATGGATGTCTGCCAGCGAAGGTAGTCTCGCCCTCGACACCCCCCTGAGTGCTTCAAGGACTATGTTAAGGACTTTTGATATATAACACTCTGCAGCGTATTACGAATGACCAGTAGTTAGCCCGTTTGTTACCGACCTTACATATGTTATCTTGACTTCTTGGAGCTTTTTCATTGATTAGTATAGTTATAGTTGAAAGACGATCCTATATTAGAGACTGTTTACCTGTTACGTAGAGGACCTCCCCCAGTTTAATAGCTATTCAGCTTACACCCTTTGTTCCAGTTCTTAAGAAATGTCAGAGAACAAGAGAAAGAAAGGTCGCGCCATTACTGGTCAGTGGTATATGGCCAGTCATGTGACGCATCACCATTCCTGGTCCGCCATCTTGTATTAAGTTGCAGTCGTGCTATCCGCCCCGGAATAAAGCCGTTCTACTCAAGTGATTCGTGTTGTTTCTCCCGGTATACCCTTCTCACTGGCGAAAAATGAACTTCAAAAACATCATCTGATTCATCAAAGCGATATGACATTTTGTTATAAAATCAGTGATTTGCATGTTCAGTCACGTGTAAAGAAAAAATTAGAATTAATTATTGTTGGTAACTGCAAAATGGCCTCGACAACTCGTGGCTGGAAAAACAGGTCATGTGACTAGTTTTAGAAGGAAAAATTTATCATGTAACAGCATTCGAAGCCAAGCAATCAACAGTCGTCAGCATAAACATCAAGACAGCCATCAAAGGGATCCGACACTCAGGAACACAAATTTTAAGTTTTGAAAGCGTTTGTTGCTTCGATTTAGAATGTTGTAAATAGTAATTTACCTCATAATTATTTCAATTTCAGTTGACTATGATGTAACCACGGACGCAACAAGCCGTGTAAACTCTAGTTCAAATAAATCTGACAACGTTTGATCCCTGGTGGGCTTATCTTCAAAATAAGTAGCACCTTCAACCATATGAGCGAATCAATCAGATTAAATTGTTAAAAATATATTAATTATTATTTATAAATATATTTTCCAGGGAAACATTACTCAGTGGTTAGGACACTTGAGTTGTTTGACAGGTAAACCTTCAATCAACTCTGACACCATTGGTTTGCCCAATACCAGTTCTCCATTTGTCTCCCACTAGTTCTCATTGAAACCATCAGAAACTCTTCTCCACACAGTACTCTTCATTTTATATCCTGGTAACAAACTTGATAAGACTGACAAACTTTTCAGGAATTCTGTGGTACAAATGTACTTCATTTGCCTCCAAAGAGTTTGGTGGTCCACACTGTCAAAAGGCTTTGTCAAAATCCAAAACATTTATATACCGTGAGCTCCTCCATTTCCACTGATTTGTTTTCTGGTCAGCACAGGATTGCTCTTTCCTGACCCCTTCTTGGTTATGAATTAATTTGACTTTGATTGCCTCTCTTAATCCCTCTAGAACCACTCTATTCAGGGCTTTGCCAGCACAGAGTTCTTGTATTCATGTAGACTTTCTAAACATCCTTTCCAATAATATTTCAATTCTATTGTTAGTTTTGCCGTTGGAAATACAGAGAGACTGAGTGAGGGTTTCTCATCCCTCGCTTTGCTCAAGGAATGACTAGGCAACGGTTGACTTGTAGCAAGTCTAGTTTTCATGTAGATCATGCCATGCTCTTTTTGGCAATCAATGTTCCATTGTTTTGGGAACCACCTCTTTAGCCCAAATCCTTTATAAAAGATAATGAAGCATTTCAACTGAGGTTACAACCCCAGCACTTAGAAGGTTCTAGTGAAATATTAAAAGGACATGTGTCTTTCCTTTCTCTAAGTCATTTAAAATGTCTTAAAGACTTCCACTCTAGAGGGCCTATCTAGGTTAAATTGAAGCTTGTCTGTCTCTTTATTCCATGTTTCCACAGTTGATAGTGGTGGTAATTGGTTGAGTAGGTCACTAGTCTAATAAGTTGTTCTCCTAGGGCATGTTAACACAGTTTCATCCTTTCCCTAGATTGGATGTGTCACGATGAGAATAACTTTGCCTATTGTTGACTTGAGTTTGTAATAGTTGACTTCATTTTGTGCTAGTTTCATGTCAAGTTTAGCTTTTTTGCATGTAGATGTATCACATATCTAGAATTACTAAAAATTATTGTCACATGACAATGAGGTGACTGCAGACCTTATCATTTTTCTAGTTTTTAGGTTGCCATTTTGGATGCAAGATTTTGGTTTGATGGAAATACAGTCTTCAAGGTCGTTTTAGGTGACAGCATGCACTGACTGCTGGTACCTCCCAGCAAACTTCCAGTACAGTACAGCTCTCTTGAGCTGTGTGTTGCTCCTTACTCTAACTATGATGCCATCCCATCAATTAGCTTATCGCTCCTGATCCTTTACCTGGCCTTTTGATGAGCCTCTGTACAGCTTTTTGGAGTAGCCATAATGCTGCTCATAGTTCTTGCTATGTTGTTATTGATTAGTTCTTTCTTCTTCCTTCTGTCAACAATTCCTTTTAAAGTGTCCACTGTCATTCATTCTTTATGGGTTCTTTCTTGCCAGCTAATGGCCTCCCTTCAAATGTCTTTCCAAGGTACTTTTAACTAGTGTTCTGGCAGGTTATTTTCTCCAGTGTCCTGGAGTGCCTTGTATCTTTTCGATAGCTTTGAATCAGAATACCTTAGCAAACAGAAGGTCTTTTGGGTCACCAGTCCTTCAGATGTCAAGTGGCACATAGGGCATCAACAAGCTTTCTCTGTTCCTGTCTGTCCTTTATTTATTTATGGTTGAGAGCTTGAATTTCTGCCTGTGCAGTCCTCCTCCAGGTGGATTTAGGATGGCCTCTTTTCCTTGTACCTGCTAGTATAAATCTGAGAGCGACTTTGGAGATGTTAATAGAGTCTATGGAGCACATGAATGATCCAAGGCCATGTTTTTGTTATAACAACGATCCCCATGTCACCCTGCTCTGTCAGTTTCAAGAGCTCATTATGGAAAATTTTTTTCTTGGCAGAAGGTCTTTCCATAAGTATGGGATATTTGTATTTAATTCTGGGACTCATTTATACCTCTGTAGATAACTCAAACCACTACTATATTGAAAATATACAGAACCAAAAAGATTATTTTCTGGTCATTCTTTTCATTAACCAAACAGATCACACAAATCAAATGCTGCAAACATCTTTGGTTGACTACTGACTCATTACATTCAAGACAAATACTTTTGTATTGTTATTATAATTTGTAAATAAATATCAATGTGAGCTTACAAACAATAGATTGAAGCGGCATATTTCAAGAAAAGTAGGCTTACCTGAGTTGGTATGCATAAACTAGAAAACTCCTCAACTCCTAAGCTTGCTTGCAATTTCTCTGCCATATTATCAATGAGCTCACCGAGTACTGGGAAAAAAAAACATAGTCACTAGACTTAACACAAGATAATATGGTACTGAGAACCATACAAGGTTTCAAATACTATCATTATTAGTGTCATTATTAACAATGGGATCAAATGCAACTAGAATGAGACTAACTGAGCACGAGGAGACGTGAACATGAGATGTAGAGTTATGCAATGCGATCACAGTCAATAATTAATCTAAACTACATTATGTAAACAAAGACACTGAGACAGCAAGCATCCGAATTTTCATGCAGTCAGTTAAGTGTATCTTAATTGGGCTCATGCACCCACTTTCTTGGGAAGAACTTACTCAAATGAAGACTTGGCAAATGTGTGCATGTGTACATGTAGGTATAAAATTGCATGATCAACAGTAGCATTAAATAAATGTATTTTGTGACTGCAAATAAGAAGCATCCTTGAAGATGGCTGGAAAGGGACAATAAATTGCACTAAGAAAGTGTCTCAAACTGTAGCGAATGGCAATAGAGCATGTTAAAAATTTTAATATTTTCTTGGGCAAGATTTCCCCTTCCCTCTTATGGGCAATAGGCTTCCTGTTCATAATTATACACCAGCAGAACTACTCTTTGGGCTCCCTCACTTCTGACTATGATCCTACAGGGCTAGTAAGTTAGTGCTTGACATATATTTCTTGATTTTGCAGTTAAAATAACAAACCATAAATTTGTCAAAGCATAATACAGCACGCAAAGAAAGTCCTGTCTGATAGCCTGTGGCTAGTAGATTTTTCAGTCAGGCTAATAGATCACTTGCTCGGTGCACAGGTGAAGTTTCTTGGAAAATGTTTTGAGGAAATTCAAATAAAATTTACAGAAGTACTGTAAGGGGAGTCGGGGGTGGGGTTAGTGAAAATGAGTTTATGAGCGGTGTATGATAGTTAGAGCTTGCTCAAAGGTCAAACTTGAAAATTTGTTTTCTTTGAAGCCCGATAATAACTTACCAGTCGCTTTATCACCCTGTTTTTGAAACATGTATTTGTAGCTGTTTAACAGAGCATCTTTCTGGGTTGCATACTGCACTGTCAAATGCGTTGCTGGTATATGTTGTTGAATGATATGTTGTGGATCACTTCCACTAGGGTTAAAAGAAAATACTATTTCCCCAGAGTTGTTCCGTGAACTATACTTAATAGAAGGAGTGGCACTGTGGAAATAATAACAAACATTTCAAAAGTTGAAATACATAAGAACCTCTCCATAATAGCCCCCTAAGCAACAGAGAGAGGTAGAGGTGCAATATTACACCTGTGTTTTATGGTGGGTGCAACATTAAATTCTGCATCTATAAAAAATACTTACTGTACCGTACAAATACATAATACCATCAAAATATATCAATGAAACAGAAACCAAACAAAAACAGAGACTGAAGGTGTGAGGTCCAAATCACCTTCCATGACCTTTTACACTCAAATCAAAGGCCTTTTGCCTTGGCTGCCTCATGTCACTTGTTTAATGCAAAGAAATCCACTAAGGCTAGATCAAATAGACTAGATACATTCTTAACAATAATAATAATAATAATAATAATAATAATAATAATAATAATAATAACAATGATAATGATAATGGTAATGGTAATAATAATAATAATAATAATAATGATGATGATGATGATGATGATAACAACAACTGTCCCAGTGATCACTGGAGCTTTTGGGCTTGTCAAGAAGGGAACAGAAAACTACATCAGCAAGATCCCAGGCAATATTAGAATAACAGAGCTACAGAAGAACGTCCTCCTTGGAACTGCTCACATACTTAGGAGGACTCTATCCATCAAGTAATCCAGCAGACTTATAACTGCCCTAGGCTCACGGACTGAACTCAGCACCATAAGTTAAAAGCGGCAAGACTTTAAGGACTGCTGCTGCTCTAATCTGACCCATGTTGATATATATATATACAGAGAGATATTGATCATAACATGCATAACATTAACGATTAATTTTTGTGATTCAGTCCTGTTTGCTAATGTGACAGGGTCACTAACCCTATAATTTCACTATTTTTAATATTTCTAAACATTCAAAGATTTGATTGCTTCACTTCATTTTGTGTTCAGGAATTTTCCGGTTTAAGTTTAGGTAAACAACGTATTGCTTAGGTATGTTTCTTTGGGTGTGCTCAAACCACACATAGTTGCTAAAATGTGTTAGTGGAACCAGGGTTTTGCGGTTACCTTTCGGCAAATTATTTCTATCGCTAAAAGTTAGCTTACCACCTTAAGATAATGAAATTATGCAAAGGAAATCCTTTCCCGTGTCTTTAACTTAGTATGGAAGAAGTGGTTAGATTGACTTGGCAAAATCAATTTTAAATATCTTTGGTACGTGCTGAATCGTATCCCCATGCTTCTAGCAAGGTATGGTCTATAAGTCGTTCCTGTTTATTTTACTTGCTGTATTAGTTTGCTGATGAACTTGGGCTTTTCATAAACTGCTTAAGGGAAAATCCTTGAATCCTCCTCATTCCTGCTTGCATAGCCACCGCATCCAGTTACACTAATTAGCAGAAAATGCACCTTAGGGGTTAGTTTTTAATCACTCATTGTGATCTTTAGATTTGTTTGCGTGATAGCACCAAATGCAGTCAATTCATTGTTGGTTTTATGCCTGTCTTCTGTAGCCAAAATTGATTAACCAGCACATTGCCTGAACTGCCCTACACAAGATCTTACACTTGGGAACACAAAGAATGGTTACATAGAAATGTGGAGAATCCTTGCACGCGAATCTTACAGTAGAAACATGAAGAATCCATACCAAGGAATGCAGCAAAGTCACCCCATATCCTCATGTCCAAGAGACTTTGGTTACGTGGACACGAGACAAAAATGGGGTTTTGTATGTACACTGTTTCTCAGTTGTTGATTCAATGGCTGTTGTCAAGAGGTTCTCTTGGCAGTCGTGAAACACTTTGGTGGTCATTGCCATTGTGGAGAGATGGCCATTGAAGAGAGGGAGCGGTTAAAATAAGAATGAATGTATGGACTGTCTGCCAGGACAAAAAAGTGGCCATTGTAGAGAGGTGGCCGTCATTTTTGATGCTGCATTTATTGTGGTTAAGCCCAGGACTTTGTGGTTGAGTTTCAGAATAGTTCAGAATTCAATAATCAGCTAAGGAATCATAGTCTTTGGCTTACACTATCATGTGATCAAGGCTTTGCATTTCACTAAACCTAAAATTTTGAATGAAGTGAGTCTTAGCTGCTCAACAGCTAGGTGGTTTCTAGGATAGGAAAGATTCTCTTTAGCACGGAATGCACTATTGGGGTGGTGAGGGGCCTTTCGCCCGTAACGGTATTCACCAGGTTACAAACAATATCATTTGCTTTACATGCAGCTCATGAGAAAAGAATAATGATCAAACAATACGGCTGGAAACAACAGTTGGTCATCGGACATTGTCCGACCAAATTTTGAATATGTCTGGCCAATTTCACATTATGATCGGACATGATGTCCGAACATTTCACGAACACCAAGTTATTGTCCATCCACAAAATTTGTTGATATACATCGTTAAAAGGCTCGAAATTGCGACCGATACAGTCACCAATGTGGCTAAAATTTCATCTTTGGCAACCAAAAATTCTGGTTTAGTCCAATCAACAGCCGATAATACGTCTACATTAACAGGCTACCATAATGGCGACTACTTTTCTCTGTGTTGACGATCAATAACGGTTATTTTCTCAGACATTATGTGTTTCCAGAAACACTTGGTGAAAGATCTTTGCTGCTATAACATTCAACATAAGAAAAGAAAGCAATCTATCCTTTTGCTTTGCTGTTAAAGATTCCTTCGCATCGGAAAACTTGCAAATGGCTGATCGTGCTTGAAATCGCCCTAATATATAGATTTAGGCCAGCTTAAAAGAGTAGCTCCTGGGTCAGGTTGTTCAGAGCCAAATTAAGCTAACCCAGGAAAAGGTAGAATTTGAGTTTTGTAACTTTGCGTTGAGGTTTTCTGTATATTTGTTTGGTATATTGTTTTGAGTTTTAATAATCACTATATATACAAAACAAAGCAGCAAAAAACATTTGTATAGAAGAAAAAGTTATAATCCAGTTAATTTTTAATCCTGGGTTAGCATTAACCGGCTTCCGAACGATCCTGCCCTGTTTTCAACAAGTTAACCTGGGATGAGCCCGTGATCCAATCGAAAAACAGCACTTGGTCAGGGGTCAACTTTGAAAAAAACACTTGACCTCGATGAGCTGTGAACTTGNTGTCGCCGTCTCCGTCGCCGTTGTGCATACGTGCCCACAAGCAATACCGCTAGCCATGATAACCATGAGAAAATCAACTCATGGGTTTCCTTTTCTTTCCTATATGAGTTTGGGGCTCCGTTTGGCGGCCCTTTGGGTCGCCAGAGCTCTGCTATAATGCATTGCAAACTCTTGAGCACCGAGTATGTCAAATATGCCTACCGATCGTGTATCTTGTAATGCATGAATCCTTCACAGACATCACATTAGCTATGTACACAAAATTAGCAGTCAAAACAGTCTTGGAAATTTTTTCTTTACAGATTTTATGCATTGAGTTCTTTTCTAAATAAAACTCCTAATTGATTTTTATTGGTTAGTTGCCAAATGGCATCTCAAGAATTTTTTTAATTTTGGGCCCTTCACTCTGACAGTTTGGACCATATTTCCAGGAGCCCATTATGGGCCTCTGTCATATCATAAAGCTGAAGTGTTCATCTTCCCTGTACTTGCCAAACAAAGTACTCTTCAGAAATCCTGTTATTATGCATTACGTGCATTGCAATATGCTGTTGGTACTTCATGTATGTACCCTAGAGTCAATGTTGGTCAGGAGCCCATCACTAGGAGCCAGCAACTCCCATACTAAGCCTATGTCATGGTATGTTTACAGACCAGTCTATTTTTAGGCTTCTTTTCCCACGACAAAGGTCAGCACTGGTCTACATGAGCGCGCATGGGTAAGGAGAAAAATGGCGGCCTCAGGTGGACATGGCAACCTAATCTACCGCTGAAATTATAAAGTCTGTACTTGTGATTGGTCACTGAGGTTCCTGCGGGGGTATGAGTTCGTGGTAATTTCAAACTAAAATAGACCAGTTTGTGAAAATGCCGGGACAGGAATAACTGGGGTAGTTGCACACTCCTAGTGATGGGTCCAGCTTTAAAGGGACACAGTCAGGTGGCGCACATGCGCATTAGATACCATTTCATGGCTAATTTGCATATCACAGAGACGCGATCCATACTATTTTTAACCCAATATGACAAAAATAATATCATAAGATGAGCAAAAGCACACTCAAAAACAGGTCTTTTAGTAAATGATTGAAAATAGGGCAAAACACTGCGAAGATTGAAGCGGATTTCTAGATGTACATTGATTTCAGGTTGAGGTAAACTTTTTTCAAAGTGAGAAAACTAGTGTCCAGGTCAACGGGGTCCCAAAGCTGACTGTGTCCTTTTAATGGTAGCATTCAGTAGAAAACTAGGTTTGCTTGAAGAACATGTAACCAGGAGAGATTGGTGCAGTCATTTAGTAGATAAAGTCATCTAATTAATCATAAATGATAAATAAATCAAATTCAGGGTGTTCATTAGGCATCGGGGATCGGAGAATTCTCCGGCTACTACGTAGAATTCTC